CCGTCCTTTTATCCATCTATCTGTCTATCCATCCATTTGTCTATCCATCTATATATCTAACTTTCTATCCGTCCTTCTATCCATCTATCTGTCTATCCATCCATTTGTCTATCCATTCATCTATCCATCCATCCATCCATCCATCTATCTGTCTATCCATCTATCCATCCATCTATCTGTCTATCCATCTATATATCTAACTTTCTATCCGTCCATCTATCCATCTACTGTATCCATCTATATATAAACTAGGCAGTCGTGTAAAGGTCATTTTGCCTGTACAGTTGTTGTATTATTAGTCTTGCAGCTGTTGTTCAGGTCAGAGGACGTCAGGTCACGGTGTGTAACTGTAAATGAGTTCATGTTTTATGAGTGTGTTAAGCGGCTCTATCACAGGTCGCTCAGGGGTCGTTGTGGCGTGACCTCAGACCTGCTCTAATGTGTGTGTACTGATGCTCATCGTATGGCATTACACATATTAACACACAAACACACGCTAATAATTAGAACAGCAGAAACACTGAATTGCTCAATTTGTCACGCAGCACTGCACACACACACACACACACACACACACACACACACACACACACACACACACACAGACTGGCAGCGTGAAGATCTCGATTACATGTACAATAGAGCCGGTCCTCCAGTAAATGTCATGTCCAGCTAACACAACTAATATAAAGCAGTTGTGTAGGGGGGGGGTTATAGATTATATATATGAATATTACTATATGTGCGTAATCTTTATATGAGCAAATCTGATCATATAATTAATGAGCTGTAGGATTTAGTTGCAGATATTGAGTACGTTTTGTCCTGGTCCTCAGCTTGATTATACCAAATAAATCCTCGATTTTATAATCTTTCATTTTAAATTATGATGAAAGTATGGTATAATGTGCATTAATGAATTAAGCTGAAGACCGGGATCATGTATTAAAAAAGCAGATAATGTCATTTTCAATTTTGCTAATTAATGAGTAACACTGCCTAATCTTGCAAAAAACAAAACTTAATATATCAGATCTGCTCATATAAAAATTGTTGGCGATCCCTCTTATTTTCAGCATGAATATGAATAAAATTTTCTAAATGCATTTTGTAGATCATATTGTCTAATTGTGAACGTGTATCTTTTTCTTTTTTAGTCTCAATTTTTAATCAGAATGTCAAAAATCTTAACTTTAAGTCCCCGTTCATATACAGTCCCTCTTTGATCGATTCCTGATGCATAAAATGAAATCTCGACATGCATTTTTTTTTTTAATTATTGAACTATTGAAGAAATGTTATATCACGTTGCGATTTATAAACGGTGAAGTTTGTGATTTTTGTGCCACTGCTACCAAACCGAATTGATCAAATAATGATCTTTTCCAAACAGGTTTCCCAAATATCAACAAAGTCCCAGTGTTTCCTCCAGTTGTGATGCTCATAAACGGCAACACTGGAAGAGGAACTCTCTGTTCGAACATTTGCACATGGAAACCTGTTTGGAAACAGGAATTCTGCCGTTCTGTTTGCTGATGTCAGTGGCACAGAAATATGAATGTTTCATTTAAATCCACTTGCTTAGGATTGTTGTTGTGTCCATGCACAATAAATAATAGTGTTCTTTTTTCTAACATTAAAAAATGGATCTGTGCTAGTTTATTTATACACACTCAGACAGACACAAGGCTGTTAATATGTGAACAAAAACAGGCAGAACAGGGAAAGTGGGTCAGACTCGGGGTGGAGAGAGGGATGCTGGGAGGAGAGTGAAGGACAAAAAGAAAAGGAGAGAGAGAAGAGAAATATCCGGAAGGCATCAGAGGGAGAGAGAGACACACACAGTCTTCAACCTTCACCTCTGCTAACATGACCTGACTGTGTGTGTGTGTGTGTCTCTCTCTCTCTTTCTCTCTCTCTCTCTCTCTCTCTCTCTCTGTCTCTCTATCTCTCTCTCTCTCTCTCTCTCTGTCTCTCTCTCTCTCTCTGTCTCTCTCTCTCTATCTCTCTCTCTATCTCTCTCTCTCTCTGTCTCTCTCTCTCTCTCTCTCTGTCTCTCTATCTCTCTCTCTCTCTCTCTCTCTCTCTCTGTCTCTCTCTCTCTCTCTGTCTCTCTCTCTCTATCTCTCTCTCTCTCTCTCTATCTCTCTCTCTCTCTGTCTCTCTCTCTCTCTCTCTCTCTCTCTCTCTCTCTCTCCGGTGTCTTTCACATTGTGGATGAACAGAACAGTGTCTAATGAAGGGTTTTAATTATCCAGGCCAATGTAATATTCAAACGCACATGGTTTTAAATATTGAATTATACATGATATTATTATAGTTCGATAAAGCCTCACCCAGATGCTTTTGTCTGACTCTATAATCTGTGCTGAACACTGTATCGCACACTGCATGCGTTCAGTTGCGTTCATTTATATTATGCAAATAACTGGCAAATCTGTTTATTCAACAGTTTCCAGTAAGTCTATTTTATTCTATTCTATATTCTGTTCTCTTTCCTTCTGTTCTATTCTTTTCTGCTCTATTTCTATTCTGTTCTGTTCTTTTGTTCTATTCTATTCTGTTCTTTTGTTCTGTTCTTTTGTTCTATTCTATTATGTTCTGCTCTATTTCTATTCTGTTCTGTTTGAAACTGTTTTACTCTGTTCTGTTCTATTCTTCTCCATTCTAATATGTTCTCTTCTGATCTATTCTGTTCTATTCTAGACTGAGTTGTTCTATTCTGTTCTGTTCTGTTCTGTTCTATTCTGCTCTATTCCATTATGTTCTCCTCTTGTCTATTCTGTTCTGCTCTGTTCGGTTCTTCTCTATTCTGTTCTGCTCTATGTCTATTCTTTTCTGTTTTACTCTGTTCTGTTCTATTCTGTTCTTCTCTATTCTGTTCTGCTCTATTTCTATTATTTTCTGTTTTACTCTGTTCTGTTCTATTCTGTTCTTCTATATTCTGTTCTGCTCTATTTCTATTCTTTTCTGTTTTACTCTGTTCTATTCTGTTCTTCTCTATTCTGTTCTGCTCTATTTCGATTCTTTTCTGTTTTACTCTGTTCTGTTCTTCTCTATTCTGTTCTGCTCTATTTCTATTATTTTCTGTTTTACTCTGTTCTTCTCTATTCTGTTCTGCTCTATTTCTATTAATTTCTGTTTTGTTCTGTTCTGTTCTTCTCTGTTCTGTTCTGCTCTATTTCTATTCTTTTCTGTTTTACTCTGTTCTTCTATATTCTGTTCTGCTCTATTTCGATTCTTTTCTGTTTTACTCTGTTCTGTTCTTCTCTATTCTGTTCTGCTCTATTTCTATTATTTTCTGTTTTACTCTGTTCTGTTCTATTTTGCTCTATTCCATTATGTTCTCTTCTGCTCTATTTCTATTTTCTGTTTTACTATGTTCTGTTCTATAATGTTCTTCTCTATTCTGTTCTGCCCTATTTCTATTCTTTTCTGTTTTACTCTGTTCTATTCTTCTCTATTCTGTTCTGCTCTATTTCTATTATTTTCTGTTTTACTCTGTTCTGTTCTATTTTGCTCTATTCCATTATGTTCTCTTCTGCTCTATTTCTATTCTTTTCTGTTTTACTATGTTCTGTTCTATAATGTTCTTCTCTATTCTGTTCTGCCCTATTTCTATTCTTTTCTGTTTTACTCTTTTCTGTTCTGTTCTATTCTTCTCTATTCCGTCCCCTTATGTTATTTGTTCTATTCTGTTATTCTATTCTGTTCTGCTCTATTCTATTCTCTTATGTTCTGTTCTATTCTGTTCTGCTCTATTTCTATCATTTTCTGTTTTGCTCTGTTTTATTCTGTTCTTCTCTATTCTGATATGTGCTATTCTACTCTGTTCTTTTCTGTTATCTCTAGAAGAACTGAATTGATCTTTGTGTTCTGTCAGTTGTTTGTCCTGTAATTTGCTCCTGAAATGTACAAACCCCTGATATTATTCTGTCTATGACCCATTCAGCGCATCCTGTCATACTGTGATTCAGTGACTGCGTTTACATCAATGTCCAGATGGTCAATATTCATATTTTCCCCAAATAATAAGGAATAATGCGCTTCAAGAATAAGCTCTTTCACTAAAGGATGTTCTATAGATGTTGGAAGATTAAGAAAACACTATTTCAGTCTAGTTTCAGTCTACTGACTTCAGTCTAGTCAATTTAATTCCCCGTTACTTGTCATTTCTTTGTAATTATTTGTGCAACTTGCTATTCCCTAAACATGGATCAATCCTACGGCAATTTTCTCCAGTGTACATATCAGCATATTCTCAGTGTGTGTTGTTCTTCTGTTCTCCATAGGGAATACTGGAGATCCTCGCGCCGTTTATTAGGCAGCATATTAGTAAATCTGCACAAAAGTGAATCAACTCCTTAATCCACATTCATGTCCTTGACAACGGCACGTGAGTGCACAAACAAATGTAGGTCACGCGATTCCTAAGGTGCTGTCGTCCATCTCATTTTTTTTCTTCATTTGAATGAAAGTCAACAGAAAAGTCTCTGCATCGGTTCAAACACACCTTTCGTTGATCAATTGTCCTGGATCGTGAAGCACCGAGACTTGCATAATAATTATTTTCAAGAAATCCGAATATGAAATAATAAGGTTAGCGCGTGGCAGGACATTCTTGCGCACGTGAACCAGGTCAGCATCTGCACGTGGAGCCTGACATGCCTTTACTAACAACAATGATGTTTCGAAATATCTCTGATGTAAATTGTGCATACGTTTTGGTTCATAGTTCCATGGTCTCTCTCTCTCTCTCTCTCTCTCTCTCTCTCTCTCTCTCTCTCTCTCTCTCTCTCTCTCTCTCTCTCTCTCTCTCTCTGAGGGGAGGGTGTATAGGCTTTTTGCTGTACGTTAACCGATTGGTTGTGTCTTAGTTCTGCGCGCCCTGGACGATTGGAATATTTCTCATCTTTACGCGCATCTGAACGCGCGTCTCCGCGACTCTCCCCGCGTCAAACCCGCAGAGCCCCGCACGGAAGACGGATGATGATGATGATGTCTCCGGGGGTCTTTATCGGTCTACGGAGCTGCTGGGTCACCGAGGGGAACGGGATTCGGTAATACGAGCACCCCTCTCCATCCCACCCCACACACCCACGCTGACAGACAGACAGAATCCGTGGTTTTGCGCACTTGGCGATCCAGCGTTCCCTTCAGGCGCTGCTGCGTTCATTCGGCTGACGCGCGCGTCCCGGTTCCGCGATGGTTCCGTGTCCCCCGCGCGTCTGATGAGTCCGCGCGCTTCAGCATCAGCATGTCCTCGCGGAAGATCTCCTCCGAATCCTTCAGCTCCATGGGCTCGGACTACCTGGAGAGCCCCGGGGAGGACGGAGAGTGCCCGTTCTCGCGCGTGTTCTGGAACGGCAGGAGTCCCGTGGAGACGCACGCGTGTCCGTTCGAGGACGCGGCGCTCAGCAGGAGGGTCGCGCGCCGCAAACGCGTCAATCTGGACTCGCTCGGGGAGAGTTTGAGACGCCTCACATCACCGACGGTACCGAACCTTCCCTTCAGCACACACACACACCAAAACACACGAGACACAGATGTGCTCCTCACAAACTTAGTGTATTATACATGACATGGATTTTTAAAGGGTAACATCTGGAGTCTGGTGTAGAACAGAATCTGCATTAATATGGAGTAGTATACACACAGATGGATATTCGCCACACACATAGGCTAGAGAGTATTGAATAGTAATGATTAAAGCGTTAATGTACAAACAAAATCATCTAGAATCAGAACGGAGTCTAGACATGATATTGTATGTTTGCGTATAGAACGGGAGACAGAAGGCTAAAGTATAGGTACAAGACATAAGGAATAAAGCTATATATGTATATAAATGAAGGATAGACAAGAGATAGAGTTAGAATCACCATCTCTCTAACCGTTTACAGCAGTGTTAGTAGTCTAGGTGATGTTAGAGTGATGATGATGATGATGATGATGATGAAGATGGATTTGACTCATGAGAGCAGATTACACAGTTCTTACATCTCATCCAAACAGTGGAAAACACAACCGGTGACAGTGCAGATGTTGCCCAATCATTCAGACCATCTTACATTTATTGTGTGTGCGTGCGTGTGTGTGTGTGTGTGTGAATGGAGAATTAATGTAAAGCGTGCTGTGTTTGTTCAGGCCCAGCTGTGTGTTGTGCGTGTGTGTCAGCATGTATTCTTACATATTCATCCTGTCTCATGTGTAGCGAAACAGCGCGGTGCACATTCAGACAAATGTGTGTGTGTGTGTGTGTGTGTGTGTGTGTGTGTGTGTGTGTGTGTGTGTGTGTGTGAAGGGGCACGATAACCTCTCGGTACGCTGGTCCCTGGTGTTTTGGGCCTCAAAGAAACACACACACTGTACCGCAGAGTTCTGCATCAGAATGTGCATGCCCTGAGATGCACGTGTGTGTGTGTGTGTGTAGCTGGATTCTAAGCCCGGCTGTATATGGACATACGGCTCATCCACACATGCTACTATACGCAACTTCTACATGCACCTAAACTCTCTCTTGACAATGTTGACGTTGAATAAAAAAAATCTGGTAGCACTTTACAAAAATTTGTTTTGTTTTCCAAAAATGTCATTAGTTAAAATTAACCACAATGTTAATCTTACATATGTATATTTTCATATTATTTAATGGCTTACATGGACTAACAATGAGTAGATGAATTTGTATTAACTAACTTTAACAAAGAATAATACATACTATAAAATATGTATTGCTCGTTGTTATTTAATGCTTGAGACCTCATTGTCAAGTATTTACAAAATGATGTTAGCGATTCAGATTGTACAGTATTACAGATGTCAGTAATAACGTTTGCATTAACTGATCATTGGTGTTTTTCTGTGTTTCGCTCTGGTAAACAGCTGCTTATGTTTGCATGTCTGTCCAAATAATGTCTGAGGCTTGAACAAATGTTCACTGAACACACGGCTCTTTACAAGATATTAATCCTTTGGTTTTGTGTGTGTGTGTGTGTGTGTTTGATAGAGAGATTTACATTGTTTAGCTGCTGTTTGTGATAAATGAAAAGATACAGAAATATTCCTCTGGGGATTAGCTGTAAAAACTATAGAAAAGAAGCTCATATATACATAAAACATTAGACATCATAGATTCTTCTGATGCTAAAACTACAGAAGGTAGAAACATTATGCTCTCTCTATCGCTCGTTTCAGCCGAAATAAGTCAGTGAAAAACAAATGCATGGCAACAAGCTCAAACAGCGTGGACTGGGTTTAAAAATGTTGATTAGAATATATGTTTTATTCAGTTCTGAGTGCTATTGATATAAATCATTTAGTCTGAAAAGTGCAATATTATTTGTGTTATTTTTTTATTTATGTTTTTAGCTTAGCAATGTTAACCTCAAACTCTATAGGATCAGTGCACTTCACGTGAGTAGTGTTTGTGTGGCTCGTCGATTTCACCTCAACTTTTGAGGTTATGTTTCTGTTCAGATGCTGCATATAATACAGCAATATTTTGCAGAATATCTTTAATATCTGGTGTCAAGCTGAAGAAAATTTACACCACATTTTTTAATGTTTTTGAAAGAGTCTCTTCTGCTCACCAAGGCTGCATTTATTTTATTTAAAAATACAGGAAAATCAGTACTATATTGTGAAATATTATTTCAATTTAAAATAACTGTTTTCTATGTGAATATATATAGTAAAGTGTAATTTATTCCTGTGATCAAAGCTGTATTTTCAGCATCATTACTCCAGTCTTCAGTGTCACATGATCCTTCAGAAATCACTCTGATATGATGATTTGATGCTCAACAACAAAAGAATAGCAGATAATTCAGCCCAAAATAGTATTCGACTTTATTTAATTCAATATTTTTTAAATAAATGGCACTTTAGAAATGTCAGCTCTTTCTAACAGTAGCATTTGACTAAGAAATCGAGTAATCAAATGTCAAAGTAAACACTGCATAGATTTCACTGTATGAATGAAATATACATCGATTCTTATTAAAGCGACCGAAGTTATTCAGTCGAGAGCAGTGAGTGTTTTCTTGTGTCTTGTTGTTTGATTAACATTAGCGAATCAGATGGTGCGTTCAAGTCATCTCGTATAGATCGGATTTACGAGTTGAATGCACTTGAACGCCACCACAATGTCGTAAAATACCAGTGGGGAGCTCGGTATTTTCTCTAATGGTGCGTTCACGTGCTATGGAAAATATGATATTTTCCACTTGTGAACTGGTATTTACCAGTGTGTTGCGTTCAAGTGCTTTTGTTGTCGTAATGTGGTAAAAAGATGGAGATCCAGACCTGTTATTTAGGTAAAACTATTTTAGATTGCTAAGTCATCTGCAAACAGCAAGAAAATGATTTATCAAAACTCAAACGGTTAATAATATGCTGTAACGTTATATTTTGTAGATCATGAATAGTACATATTTTTACCATTCACGACTCTCGCGTTGCTCTCCGCCATTTTGAAAAGGTCAAAGGTTATCTCATCTCGGCAACTCGTGCATCAAAATTTTCTACGAGTTGCCCAGTGGAAAATACCACATGTGGGGGTGTTCATGTGCATTTCCCACGTCGGCTTTTGGTATTTACCATTATTACCATAGCACGTGAACGCACCATAAGCCCCGATCTTTCCGAGTTGTGGGCGTGTCACTGAGAAACATGGCGGAATACCACAATACTTAAATATTAGGCAGTGATATTGTCAAGGTTTTCTATTTACAGCGCAGTTAAGCTAATTGCTTGCACAGAATATGATTGCATTATAATATAACAATGCAACATGTAACAATAAAGTTGGCAGTGGCTTCATAAATTAATTAAAAACATTAAAAAACAGAGTACATCTGATGCCAATTTATTTGTTCTTCATTTTCTAGAACAAGAGTTTAAGAACCTTACTGTATTTTTGTGTAATTAATTAAGAGAAAGTACTCCGCCATCTTACTCCGATGAAAGTGACTTGAACGCACTGCCGTCGTAAACACGACTTCCCACCTCGTACGTACGAACTTCCCAGGAGGACTTGAACGCACCAACATCAGCAGGTTTACAGAGATCGTGTAGCTCCGCCCCTTTCAGCGATGCGCTCTTTCCTCCGGTTTGTATTTTTCCATATTATGAACCGCTCGTTTTTAAGGCCATGTCCACACACTAATACGTTTTCGTTTGAAAACGTATATTTTTTTCTCCGGTTTGGCCTTCCGTCCACTCTGAGACAGCGTTTAAGTCAATGAAAATGTACTCACAGCTGCTGTCCTGCGTCAATACGGAGCAGTTGCGTTTTAGACCAAACATATGGTGACTGAGTTCAGCGACCTGGACGCATCATATTTGAGGTGAGTTTCACGCATGCGCAGTAAGGTGAATTTAGAAGTTTCCCATCCACACTGAAACGTCGGGAAACGCCTGAGAAATCTTCTTGAAACATTCCAGTGCTCATGATAACTGTCCTTAACTCTACAGTAAGTAAATCAACTTCACTAGCTAATAACTCTTAGACAGCGATGCCATAGAAATATACAGAGTTACCGCAAAAACAGAAGTTCAAAGACAGCCGCATAAGGTCTATACTGACGTACATCCGGTTTTCTCTCGACCTTTTTGTTTAATTATGTTTTGTTACTTATGTTTAAGCGCAATTACACGTGAAAGAGAACTTACTTCAGTGCGCTTCTGCTGCGGGTGCTCATAAAAGTGCAGTGATTTTAGTTTTTTGTTTTTTCATGCTGTGTGTGTGTGTGGTCAGTGAACATCAAGGTCACTGTCATGGGAATTAGTTTCAGACACACAGTATAATGTGACGGGTCAAACAGAATCAGTCTCTTTCTCTCTCACACACACAGTTTGAGTGAACTCACATTTCATCCCAAACCCGTAACAGAAAAAAACCCCCCAAAAAATTACATGTTTGCACAAAGAAAATCAAAACCATAAAGATTTTTGCACTGCACTTGATTTTCCAACAATCAAGCTAATTTCCCCCCCGCATTCTCATAACCATAATGCACTTTTCTTGCAATTCTTATGATCCTCAGCGGTGTTATGTTCGCATAAATCAGGTTTAGTGTCGAGAGAGAGAGAGAGAGACTATTGCTGTAAGATCACTAAAGCAGATTTGGCCAGGTAAAGCTGGGTTTCAGCTATTAAGAGCTTTCCTGAAATGAGGAGGATTGTGATTGGTTTTTTGTTGCCGTGGTAGCGTGATAAAGGCAGTTGATTGGATAAGGCTTAAAAGTGTATTCTATTACAGGTACATCCGCACTGTAAATCCCTTTAAAAAAGGCCAACACAAACCAAATCCAATAGAGGCGATCGGTTTACCACCACCTTTTCAAGAAACACAGAATTGGTTTAATTAGTAAAAAACTTAATCTGCAGCTTTGTGGAGCTTCAATAGAGTGCATTAGAGCCCGCCCACTTTTTCAGGAAGTATTTTTTTCCATTAATTTCTCTTAAAGGGGTTTTCAGGAAGTCTTCGTTAAAGCGTTATAAGCCATGAATCAAGCCAATCAGCTGCGAGGTGGATCATAACCTGATCATAACACTGCAAACTTTGATTTGAAGCAAAACGAGTTTTTGAAAATCGGACAAAAACACAGAGGTACGAGACTGTGAACTTAACAGCTTTAGTGAGGGAAAGAACTACAATCCCATGATGCATTGCAAACAGCGTTATCGAGTTAAAAACGATGGAGAAATATAACACTATTTTGAGAACGTGAGGAGACCAACTCAATTCCGTCATTCGCAGTGCTTCATAGGAGTGGGCGGAGCTAAAGAGATCTTTCAACTCTGATTGGTGGAATGTTTTTGTACAGCATCATGGGTAATGTAGTTTTCACTAGGAATTCCGCTGTTAAACACGATTATTTTAAAACTAAGCTGAAATAATGTGAACTGACAGCTTCAAAAGAGGCAAATACCATCGCTTAACAACCTCATACCTCACAGTCTTTAAATGTTTGTAAGTCATCATTAAAAATCAATTTCCCTATGGAGAAAATGAATGTTTTTACATCCGAAACATGACTGTTGCACTCTATACACTTTCACTTAGTAAATTTTACAGGCAATTACAAAGGCAAGTAACACATTTAACTAAACTTTAAATTAGAAAAACTTAAATAGTATAGGAAAACACATTCCAATAATCTTTGTTTTAAAAAAAAAAGTACAATGTCCATTTTTTTAACTATAAAAGTGAAGAAATCTTGCATCATCGAGTTTCCATTAACATTTTTTTTTTCTTGGTTCGTTTTGAACTTTTGATTGAGTTGTTTTCCATGAATCTGTTGTACAGTAGATCCTGTGAAAGGAGACGGGACGTGCGTGTTTGGGCCAGTGTGAAGAGAGCGCTCTTGTTTACCAGTTAAATGGTGTCTTTGTAGTGTCACTTGTGAATCTGGGTCGAGCAACTTCTGACTGCATTGTTTTTCTTCTCTTCAGACCCAGACAATTCAGCTGGCCCTGCAGAGAACAGTGGAGTTCTACAGGCAGAGGGAGATCAGGTAGATCCGCACATCTTTCATCTGTTTCTGAGAGAAGAACAAAGATAATCCCGTAGAGTTTGGGAAGAGTTCTACTTTACACATCATTTCAGAGCTCTATACTCTCTCTATGCAGTCTTTTGACAACAGCTTCACACTGAACCCTCTGGTGCTGCTCTAGGGAAGCGTATTGCATTCACTTGAGGAAATAAATCTAACTCTGTTTTTCTGAATTAACGAGTTAATCATCTCAGAATTACGAGATCATTTTTCATGGAAAAAAGTTTTTGCTCTGTTTTTCTGAATTAACGAGTTTTATTATCTCAGAATTACGAGATAATTTTTCATGGAAAAAAGTTTTTGCTCTGTTTTTCTGAATTAACGAGTTAATTATCTCAGAATTACGAGATAATTTTCCGTTGAAAAAAGTTTTTGCTCTGTTTTTCTGAATTAACGAGTTAATTATCTCAGAATTACGAGAATTTTTCATGGGAAAAAGTTTTTGCTCTGTTTTTCTGAATAAGCGAGATAATTTTCCATGGGAAAAAGTTTTTGCTCTGTTTTTCTGAATTAACGAGTTAATTATCTCAGAATTACGAGATAATTTTTCATGGGAAAAAGTTTTTGCTCTGTTTTTCTGAATTAACGAGTTAATTATCTCAGAATTACGAGATAATTTTTCATGGGAAAAAGTTTTTGCTCTGTTTTTCTGAATTAACGACTTAATTATCTCAGAATTACGAGATAATTTTCCGTTGAAAAAAGTTTTTGCTCTGTTTTTCTGAATTAACGAGTTAATTATCTCAGAATTACGAGAATTTTTCATGAGAAAAAGTTTTTGCTCTGTTTTTCTGAATAAGCGAGATAATTTTCCATGGGAAAAAGTTTTTGCTCTGTTTTTCTGAATTAACGAGTTAATTATCTCAGAATTACGAGATAATTTTTCATGGGAAAAAGTTTTTGCTCTGTTTTTCTGAATGAACGAGTTAATTATCTCAGAATTACGAGATAATTTTTCATGGGAAAAAGTTTTTGCTCTGTTTTTCTGAATTAACGAGTTAATTATCTCAGAATTACGAGATAATTTTTCATGGGAAAAAGTTTTTGCTCTGTTTTTCTGAATTAACGACTTAATTATCTCAGAATTACGAGATAATTTTCCGTTGAAAAAAGTTTTTGCTCTGTTTTTCTGAATTAACGAGTTAATTATCTCAGAATTACGAGAATTTTTCATGAGAAAAAGTTTTTGCTCTGTTTTTCTGAATAAGCGAGATAATTTTCCATGGGAAAAAGTTTTTGCTCTGTTTTTCTGAATTAACGAGTTAATTATCTCAGAATTACGAGATAATTTTTCATGGGAAAAAGTTTTTGCTCTGTGTTTCTGAATGAACGAGTTAATTATCTCAGAATTACGAGATAATTCTTCATGGGAAAAAGTTTTTGCTCTGTTTTTCTGAATGAACGAGTTAATTATCTCAGAATTACGAGATACATTTTTCATGGAAAAAAGTTTTTGCTCTGTTTTTCTGAATTAACGAGTTAATTATCTCAGAATTACGAGATAATTTTTCATGGGAAAAAGTTTTTGCTCTGTTTTTCTGAATTAACGACTTAATTATCTCAGAATTACGAGATAATTTTCCGTTGAAAAAAGTTTTTGCTCTGTTTTTCTGAATTAACGAGTTAATTATCTCAGAATTACGAGAATTTTTCATGAGAAAAAGTTTTTGCTCTGTTTTTCTGAATAAGCGAGATAATTTTCCATGGGAAAAAGTTTTTGCTCTGTTTTTCTGAATTAACGAGTTAATTATCTCAGAATTACGAGATAATTTTTCATGGGAAAAAGTTTTTGCTCTGTGTTTCTGAATGAACGAGTTAATTATCTCAGAATTACGAGATAATTCTTCATGGGAAAAAGTTTTTGCTCTGTTTTTCTGAATGAACGAGTTAATTATCTCAGAATTACGAGATACATTTTTCATGGAAAAAAGTTTTTGCTCTGTTTTTCTGATTTAACGAGTTAATTATCTCAGAATTACGAGATAATTTTCCATGGAAAAAAGTTTTTGCTCTGTTTTTCTGAATTAGCGAGATAATTTTCCATGGGAAAAAGTTTTTGCTCTGTTTTTCTGAATTAACGAGTTAATTTTCCATGGGAAAAAGTTTTTGCTCTGTTTTTCTGAATTAACGAGTTAATTATCTCAGAATTACGAGAGAATTTTTCATGGGAAAAAGTTTTTGCTCTGTTTTTCTGAATTAACGAGTTAATTATCTCAGAATTACGAGATAATTTTCCATGGAAAAAAGTTTTTGCTCTGTTTTTCTGAATGAACGAGTTAATTATCTCAGAATTACGAGATAATTTTTCATGGGAAAAAGTTTTTGCTCTGTGTTTCTGAATGAACGAGTTAATTATCTCAGAATTACGAGATAATTCTTCATGGGAAAAAGTTTTTGCTCTGTTTTTCTGAATGAACGAGTTAATTATCTCAGAATTACGAGATACATTTTTCATGGAAAAAAGTTTTTGCTCTGTTTTTCTGATTTAACGAGTTAATTATCTCAGAATTACGAGATAATTTTCCATGGAAAAAAGTTTTTGCTCTGTTTTTCTGAATTAGCGAGATAATTTTCCATGGGAAAAAGTTTTTGCTCTGTTTTTCTGAATTAACGAGTTAATTTTCCATGGGAAAAAGTTTTTGCTCTGTTTTTCTGAATTAACGAGTTAATTATCTCAGAATTACGAGAGAATTTTTCATGGGAAAAAGTTTTTGCTCTGTTTTTCTGAATTAACGAGTTAATTATCTCAGAATTACGAGATAATTTTCCATGGAAAAAAGTTTTTGCTCTGTTTTTCTGAATGAACGAGTTAATTATCTCAGAATTACGAGATACATTTTTCATGGGAAAAAGTTTTTGCTCTGTTTTTCTGAATTAACGAGTTAATTATCTTAGAATTACGAGAGAATTTTTCATGGGAAAAAGTTTTTGCTCTGTTTTTCTGAATTAACGAGTTAATTATCTCAGAATTACGAGATAATTTTACATGGAAAAAAGTTTTTGCTCTGTTTTTCTGAATTAACGAGTTAATTATCTTAGAATTACGAGATAATTTTTCATGGGAAAAAGTTTTTGCTCTGTTTTTCTGAATTAACGAGTTAATTATCTCAGAATTACGAGACAATTTTCCATGGAAAAAAAGTTTTTGCTCTGTTTTTCTGAATTAACGAGTTAATTATCTCAGAATTACGAGAGAATTTTTCATGGGAAAAAGTTTTTGCTCTGTTTTTCTGAATTAACGAGTTAATTATCTCAGAATTACGAGATAATTTTCCATGGAAAAAAGTTTTTGCTCTGTTTTTCTGAATGAACGAGTTAATTATCTCAGAATTACGAGATACATTTTTCATGGGAAAAAGTTTTTGCTCTGTTTTTCTGAATTAACGAGTTAATTATCTTAGAATTACGAGAGAATTTTTCATGGGAAAAAGTTTTTGCT